CTTATAACCCTACTCAAAACTACCCATGAACCTCCAAGTAGAGACGAGCCCTGTGACTCAGCGGCTCTTTTGCTGCTTTCTGGTGAAGATGGCTCAGGTCGGTGGTCGCCTCTGAGGCGCGGTCCTTAGATTTTTTTTTGTGTGTCTGTGTTCGGCTTGTCTTGATCAGGAGGGTCGTAAGAGGCACTTAAAAGAACCAAGCCAGCCTCGATGGAACTCGAGGAAGGGGGATGCAGCTGAGAAGCATCCCATGTTGCAAGCCACATCACGGGGCAGGCCAGAGGAAGTCTCAGAGAAGCAACGGCTGAAAACGGCTTAGACGCCTCGCACACGGCGGAGCCGGAGGCAGCGCGACAAAACTGCAAGTCGTTTGGCACATGGGAAGGAGTGATTTTGTGGGGGCTACCTGTTGCTTTGTGAAGTGACCCTGATGAGGCTATAGAGCTTCATGGACCTGAGCACATGTCATGTGCTAACAGGCCAGAGAAAGCAGCAGAGAGGACACGGCTGAGAACGGCTTAGACGTCCCGCCCACGGCAGAGCCGGAGGCAGCGCCACAGAATTACAACGAGTCGTAGGAGCGAAGTTGTGGGGCGGCTTCATGAATCCCAAATGCATCCGCATTGACAGGCCAGAGAAAGCAGCAGGGAGGACAAGGCTGAGAACGGCTTGGACGTCCCGCCCACGGCAGAGCCGGAGGCAGCGCCACAGAATTGCAACGAGCCGATTTGCGCATAGGACATAGGAGGGAAGTTATGGGGCGGCTACATGCTGCACAGCACGGTTTCGGAAGTTGCTTTGTCAAGTGGGGCGGCGTGCCACGAACCTTTAAAGTATACAGCTTCATGAATCCAAAATGCATCCGCATTGACAGGTCAGAGAAAGCCGAGAGGACACGGCTGAGAACGGCTTAGATGTTCCGCCTACGGCAGAGCCGGAGGCAGCGCCACAGAGATGCCACAAGTCGTTTTGTGCACGGGAAGAGGAAGGTTGTGGGACTACATGTTACACAAGTTGGTTTGTCAAGTCGGGCCGCATGAAACCGGAAGCGAACCTATAACTATAACCAGAGCTTCAGAAGCCAGAGAAAGCATCAGATAAGAAAAGGCGGAGAACGGCTTCGATGTCTTGCACACCATGGAGCCGGAGGCAGCGCGACAGAAATGCAACGAGTCGCTGAGTGCAGTAGAACGACTACTGAACTACATCTTGGAGATGAATTGCAGCAAGAGGCCTCACGTGTATGAGTCGAGTTGTTTTGCAACGACACTGACCAGAGTAAGCAGCTCGTCAGTCGTATGACAAGGGAATCACCGCCCTGAAGCATCACAAGTTGAAACAAAGCTGCTATGAAGCTTGAGGCGTCGACGTGACTCTTGCAGTAAAGGTTTTTGGAATAGTGTTCCACACCGAGAACGGAGGCCAGCGCTGCCTGCTTAGAAGAGCTCGTCGTCTTCCTTTTGAAAGAGCAGCCAGCCAATAGCCCCTCTTCAATCCGCCCTGGATAGGCTGGAAAAGACGTCAGAGAAGAATCGACCCAAAACGGCTTCGATGCCTTACTTGCGGAGCTGCAGGCAGGGTCTCATGCGGAATGATTTTCGCATAGTCTGTCGGAGTAAGAAGTTGTGAAGCGTAATCAGGGCTCATTCGTGAGATTAACAAGACATTCCTTCGAAGTAATTACGTCTTTGTAGCATCCATTGAGCACTCTTGCAGCATGTCGCGATGGCACAGGAGGAGCAAGAAGACGAACATGATTCTGCCACGGACGAGCTTGCAACCTGACGGTCTCATTATTTCTCCAAAGATTGTGGTAACACTATAGGGACTATGGGCTTATGTTGAACAGCACGGGGATTTAGTTAGTGTTCGCCCGCGGTCCCGCGGCTCCCGCTTGGGCGTTTTTCAATCAAGTTCAATTTCCGACAAAAATCGCGTTCTTTCTTTCCACGTCCCCTTGTGGCCGCCGCGTCCTCTGTGGACTTCCAAAACATGGTAAATTCCACTTCTTCGGTGTTCGGCTCGATGAATCTCCCAACCCCGCCGTCTTGTGTGCGCAGTCTTGGGGTCTTGGGGAAAAGTCGTGCTCCCCGCCATAGTCCCACAGTCCCGTTCATTAGTCCATGATTGACTTCTCTTCGCCTTCTCGGGGGCTCTCCGAAGATCCAAAAAGGCTTTCGAAGTTGGGCATTTATGCTCCCGCAGTGTGGAAGAATGTTTGAAGTTTGGACTCATAGGATGGTTTTGAGAGCCTTAGGGGGTGGTTGTTGAGACTGTAGGCGGCGGAATCTCAGGGGCTCTTGCACTGCTTGGGTGTTTCGTCAATGGCACTTTTAACGGTCTCGGTTTCTGTCATCCGCTTCTTGTGTAAGGCAGAGTTTGTTAAGCTTAGCGATACCAAGGCAGAGCAAGCTACGTTCACAATCTGCGTGACAGATTCAGTGACTCGGAAGAGCATTGTCTTGCTCGAACCGCCCGTGTTCGATCCTTGGCAGCAAAGATGCCACGCTGTCCGGCAACTCTGCTCACAGCTTCGTGCCTCAAGCTGTGACATGCATGAGAAAGCTCGCGACCCAAGTTGTCAGAAATTTCCTCGATGCTTGAAGCATCAGAAGGCATGGTATGTTAGGTTATACCAGAGATATCTGTAGCTGTAATTTCCTGTAATCCAGTTAAGTTACATAGAGCTTATAACCTTACCTGCTAAATCCCCGTATCCTCCAACCAAGTCAAACCCGCAGTGAGATTCAGGACATGCCGGTGGCGGCAGCTGAGGTTTCAGCCTTATGCGGAATTCGCATGAATTTGCTGAGCCAGAATTGATGCTGAAATCACCACTTGTCGTTGATTCAATCCGCGATACGGGGTTGAGGTTTTAGCGGCAGGTCACGGTTGAGGTATTTCTTACGAGCCCCCTCTCTGCAAACAGGTCCGATCAGCCACAAAGTGTTACACGTTGGCGGCGAAGTAGTCGGTATCTATTCAAAAAAACCGGATTGTCGATCTTGGACTGCGGCCAATTCCTCCTCAAAGGTTCGGGTGGTGATCTGCGACGAATCCGGTATCACTTCTTTCGTTCACGGTAGTATTATAAATGAGCTTTACCTCACACGTTGGATGTGACATTGGAGTGCATCAAGAAACATGATCTCAATGCTGTTGATATGAAGTTGCAAGCCTTGCTATGAGTGTGTGTCTGTTTGTGTATCCCTTATCGTACTCGGAGTAAGAGCACCGCATCTGCTGCTTGAGCCAAGAAAAACTGCAAAGATCGTGTAGCCCCAAGTCCTGAAGAACTTGACCCCCCTGCACTCCTAAGCCCTCAAGCCGTTTGACCCTCAACAACTTTCAATGCATTCTGCCACAGAAATTCAATGACGTTTGAACTAGTCATCTGAACAGAGGACCCGGTGCCATCTTCTGACCCACCTTCCGAGGCATCACCCTTGAAAGTGTCGTTTTTGCAGCAATCTGGGGTGCAGCTGATGGGTTCGACTACTCCGAGTGTCGCTCTGGCATCCGAAGGCAACTGTCACGCCAGAGCAGTGCCCCAAAACGAAGGACGAGCTGCAGCTCGTCTGCACCAGAGATTAGCTTGTCCACCTTCTTTTGAATTCGTCAACGCTCAGGCATCAAGAGATGGACGTGCTGGCGGCCTCACTGACGGCGGGTCTTGAGATCCCCGCAAAGGACGGCGATGTCGCAACAGAGGCAAGTGCATTGCTTAAGTTTCGATTGGACGAGTTCTTTGCAGTGCATGGCGATTTGGGCGGCCGAGATGGCTACTGTAGCAGGTGGCCACACTGGCTCCGCAGCAGGCAGGGAGAAGCGGGAGAAGCGAGTGAGGTTTTGGGATTGTCCTGGTAACGTGCGATCTCTTTGTCTAGCTACCAAGCAGTTCCCCTGCAGGAGGAGATGCAGGAAATGCAGGCACTCGTTGCCACCGAGCCTTCGCGTCCTGCAGAGGAGGCTGAGCTTAGCGTGGGGAAGGCGCTGAGTCCAAGAGCATCCATGACCCAGGATACCCCTCGGAGCGGAGCTTCAGGCACGTCTCTTTGCTCGAACACCCCCCTGCTCAGGAAGCTGTGAGTAAGCTGTGCTGGATTCGTATGGGCAGGTCATACGTCTGCCGGGACTTCGGAATTGGACCTGGCCACGGACTGCCGTGAGTTGAAATCTGGATGTCCACCTCAACTTCTTTTTGGACTTTGCGAGGAGCTGGTGCATGCCGCCTGCCAAGCTCACGACACGCCGCAAGAAGCCATGTCTGTGGTGGTGTCCCAGGCGCCTTTACTTCTTCTTGCACGTACTGCTGCTGCTGCTGCTGCTGCCGCTGCTGCTGCTGCTGCTGCTGCTGCTACAACGACTGCGACTGCGACTGTGGCTACTGCGACTCCCGCTGCTGCTTCCAGCTACTCCTATCTACTCCTCCTCCTGCTCCTGCTCCTGCTGTAGCTCCTGCCGTAGCTCCTGCTGTAGCTCCTGCTGCTCCTGCTCCTGCTGCTGCTGCTGCTGATGCTGCTGCTGCTGCTGAGAAATCAGTCTACTGTTAACAGCTTTAACTTAAAGCCGTTAACAGCCACAGTATTGTCGTGATGATGGCGATGCCGTCTCCTCGTTCATATGAAGTGTGGTGATGTTGCGACGACAGGTTGTGTCCGCGCTGTCGTGGTTGGAAGTGATAGTGGAGATGGCCCTTGTTTTGCCGTAGCCAGTATCACGACCATTGCGATATATTGCGACTGTTGTCAGTGGTGTTCATTCTTTTTGAGGAAGGGCATTTAGCGTTTTGAAAGGTAGCCTATATTGTTGGCTTGCCTTAGAGCAACATGCGATACAAGTGCTGCATAGTGCTGCAGACACGTGACGCCGTGTCTGAAGTGTGTCTGTGTATCTGTCAGCTTAGCACTTCAAAGTACTCTTCTTATATGTACGTATACGTGTATTTATATGCATGAATGAATGAATGAATGTACATAGGAACATAGGTACATAGGTACATAGGTATGTAATGTATGTATGTATGTATGTATGTATGTATGTATGTATGTATATATGTATGTATGTATGTATGTATGTATGTAGATACATGTATATGTGTATATGTATACGTATATGTATACGTACACACACATATATATATAAGTATATTCATTGTCGAAACTATGTGTTTGCATGTGCTGCATGCAAAAAAAACATGCACGTCTCTCCTCTACGATGCGGATGTACGATAATGCTTTTTGCAAGAGAGAGAGAGAGAGAGAGAGAGAGAGAGAGAGAGAGTGTGTGTGTGTGCGCGTGCGTGTGGGTGCATCTGCACACGGTGGCCCGAGGAAGACAATCTAAAGCCCAAAACCTGTCCTCGTCCACTCGCGCCGCTGTGGTGCCGCAGGCCACCGTGTCTGTCGATACAGAGACGATGCTTCGCTCCTTGGAGGACCTCTGGAATCGGCATTGTTGTGGCCCTGTAAGTGCAAAATCATTTATCTAGGCGACCATCCCGGCCGAGCCCCTTCCGAAATCGAAGGAGGAGCTGCCGCCGGGCGGCAAGCTGTGGTGCCTTTGAACGCCGAGTAGCGAGGGACTGCTGTTGCGAGTGCTGTGCCGAGGCTGGAAGAGGTGGACGTCTTGGCCGCTTCGCTGACAGACGGACTCGAGCCGGGCTTCAGTCGACCGTCGGGTCCACCTTCCGAGGCTTCCCCCGGTGACTTGTCGGAGCTGTATCGAGAGACCTACGACTGTTCGTTGCAGGTGACCATCATGCTGGAACACATCCCCAAAACGAAGGACGAGTTGCCGCTTGATTGCCGTTCGTGGGTGACGGCCGGTAGGGATGCATTCTCGCGATTGGATGCAGACGCAAGCCCAGGCTTCAGGAGATGGATGTGCTGGCGGCTTCGCTGACGGCCGGTTTAGACGCATCGCCCGGTGAAGACCGGGCAGAGGGCGATCCCGAAGCGGAGGCATCCATGCTCTCGCAGGAGTTGCGGCACTACTTTATCACAGCGTTGTGCTCCTTCACGTCCCAACGCTGTGATGCTGACTGCTGGATGTAGCAGATGTGAATTTCGGTGGCCGGAGGCCCTGTTGCCGGCAAGCACTTCGAGTCCACCTTCGGAGGCAATTACGCTCGTCGCCTGTCACACGGGCTCACGAAGAGAGTGTGGGATT